ATGGATAGACATCAAAAAATTTTAAAAAGTTGCAGAACTATACATAAAACATGGTAAAAATTTAAAAATACGCAGAACCATGCCATACATTCACTCATAAATGTATGTGAAAATTTGAAAAAATATACAAAGGATATAGTTGAATAGAAGATCAGGAAGGCATGAGAGAGTATTTGCCCTTGAGGGGAATGAGACAATTTTGTCATATTTGCTTCATAAAAATGACAGATCCTTTTATCAATTTCAACACCAAATACAGACATCTAAGAGGACCTCCTGGTCTGTGCCCAGCTCTGAGCTGACTCAGTGGCCTGTCCACGAATCGTCTTGGAGCTTCTGCTGTACACGCAGGCTATAGGATCTGTTCTACAGGTCAGCCTTCAGGCTGCAGGAAGAAAAAAACCCAGCCTCCCCTAGGGCCAGAAGACCGAGAGGGAGTGTTCTGCACAGACTCACACCTTTGGGGAGTGCTCTCGTGATCACAGTGAAAAGCAGGATTGGGCAGAGGGAAAAGCTGAGCTGCACCAGTAACAAAGCTTCTGAAGCTGGAATGGCCCTGCAGAGCTATCCTGAATTGGGGTGAGGGGACCTGGCTTTTATTCCTCTGCAGTGACTTCCCCACAAAACACCCCTTCCCATCTCCTGCTGCTGGGTGACTTTCCCTGGGCAAGTGAGTGCCTCAGTGGAAAAGAAATGGGGTGTGTGTGTGTGTGTGTGTGTGGCAGGACATCTGAGTGACACACCACAGCATCCACTACATAGATGTTTGTAAAAATTGTGTAAGGAACAAGGGTGTGTGAGGTGCCCATGTAGACATGGCTGGGATGTGTGTGTGTGTGTGTGTGCGCGCGCGCGCGTATGAGTAGTTGTCTACGGAGTCTATGGAGAGCATAGATGTGCACTTGGGGTGATTGTGTTTGGGCATGACCTTGTGTTTTTGCACTGGTGTGCATATGTGAAAGTCAGTGAGTGAGATGTGTCTCTATGCAGGTGTTTGTGCATGCACATGTGTGCATGCATGTGTTCTGTATGTGGGATGGGTGGGGAGTGGATGTGTGCCAGCTTCCAGACCCATTAGGCCAGAAGGACAGAGGAGGCTGGGTTGTGCCAGGGAAGGGGATTCTGGGTTGCCTTAGTGGCCTTGGGTGGTGAGGGCATGGTACTAGTTGAACGGACCACTCTTATCTGGAGAAGTAGCTCCTCCTTTGGACCAGGGCCTTTTGTATTCCCACAGTTCCTGTGGTCTGCGCCTAGCCTGCCATAGGAAAATGAGGAATTGCTGGAGGGAGACCTGGGTCAGGTACTGCCTCACCAGTCAACCTGGCCCAGGAAGCGACAGGAGGGGGTAGTTGCTGGTGACTGTCCCTCCTCAGGGCTGGAGAGCATCTCCCTAGCAGAAAATACTAGTCTCTGGCTAGTGGCCCCTCTGGAGAGACCTCTCCCACTGGTCCACAGGTGTCCAAATACTTTTCTGTGCATGTGACATTACTCACAAAAAGCACACTCACCCACCTAATAATCATAAGGATTTTTTTTCCCTGCCGCCTTCCCTCTGCCTCTTAATCATAAGGAATTTAATAAATGACTTTTTGACATACTTTATTAGTAGTGTCCATCTGTGGCTTCCTGTTGTGTAGCCCCAGGTATGTCCTGGTTTCCCTCTGTTCTGTCTCACACTTAGACTTTTCACCAGAAGGACCCCCGTTCCCCTGTTGGCTAGGGTCATAACAGCAGGAGCCGCAGATTCTAGACTGGCCCTGGGCTCCTGCTGGCTGCTTGCAGGGACAGGGAACAGAGCAGCAAATGTGCCAGTGAGCACCTGGATGTGTCCTGTGTTGTTCCAGGGGCTGTGGGACAGGAAAAGGCGAGACACAGCCCTGGTGTGCTCAGCGTGGAGGCTCTGGGAACCCAGATGGAGAGAGGTTGCTCCTGGCTGGGAAACTAGGAGAGCTGGCAGGGAGGAGGAGCCATGTGAACAGGGCTGGTAGAAAGAGGAGGTGGTGTTTCAACATCATTATCTGTACTTCACGGATCTAGTGTCTGGGAGACAAGAGCTGGTTGCAGTTGTCTTCCCCATTCACACAGTTTGAGCACAGGCCCCAGGAGGTGAAGTGACTTACCCGGGGCCACACAGAGCACCTCTATGAGCCGTGTCTTTTGGATAATTGGCCTGTTGTTTTTCCTAGTCAGTTCTGTTCCTTTGGCTACCTGTGCTGGGGCCACTCTGCCTTGCCCACAGGGGTGAGGACCAGGCACCAGAGCCAGCCAAACATATCCTACCCTCAAATCCCTGTCTCAAGATCTCACATGCCCATTGTTGAGTCATTTCTGATTAATCCACCCGCTTCCTTAAGCCAGAAATCCAAGAGTCATCCTTCATCTGTCTCTCCCTCACCTCCCAT